TAGAGCTTCCCTGTGACCCTGCTATGGCACTACTGGGTATTTACCCCAAAGATACAGATGTAGCGAAAAGAAGGGCCATCTGTACTCCAATGTTCATAGCGGCAATGGCCACAGTCGCCAAACTGTGGAAAGAACCAAGATGCCATTCAGTGGAAGAATGGATAAGGAAGATGTGGTCCATATACACTATGGAGTATTATGCCTCCATCAGAAAGGATGAATACCCAACTTTTGTAGCAACATGGACGGGACTGGAAGAGATTATGCTGAGTGAAATAAGTCAAGCAGAGAGAGTCAGTTATCACATGGTTTCACTTATTTGTGGAGCATAAGGAATAACACGGAGGACATGGCGAGATGGAGAGGAGAAGGGAGTTGGGGGAAATTGGAGGGGGAGATGAACCATGAGAGACTATGGACTCTGAAAAACAATCTGAGGGTTTTGAAGGGGCAGGGGGTGGGAAGTTGAGAGAGCCTGGTGGTGGGTATTAAGGAGGGCACGTATTGCATGGAGCCCTGGGTGTGGTGCATAAACAATGAATTCTGGTACACTGAAAAGAAATTTTAAAAAATTAAAAATTTTTTTAAAAAAGGAAATACTTGTTGGACCCTGTCTGATTCCATGTCTTTTCTAAATTCTTAAGTAACGATGCAGCTTAGCAGACAGAACTAAGCATGAACTCGATCTTTAGTGGCAGAACTTCTCAGGAAATCAGGGACACCTGTGAGACACGTACATCTCACCACCAGTCCCTTGAGTATTTACTGCCCCTTCCATGTGAGACCCTCTCTACCATCAGGGATCATGAAAAAGTAGGCGCCTCTCTTAAGCCAGACAGCGGTCTCCTTGGAGATACTCACAAACTTGTAATTGGGCTTGGTAATTAGCAGTGGGAGAAAGTTTTTTGGAGATATTTTCAGCTACTGAAGCCTGCACTCTCACTGCCATCCTGTGTGAAATGATAATGCAATTCTGAGGGGAGTGGAGGGGAAGTCTTATCTCGGGGTCTGGCTGCCTCCCTCCCTCACATCCTGGTTGCCATGACCTTCACACTGAGCTGCATCCATCAGGAAGGAGTCTGGTGAGTATTTTCGCTTTCAGTCTGAGAGAGCCTGTAAGGGAGCACGCCTAAGTGTTTACATCTGTGAAAGGGATTCCGTAGGTCAGGACAGTTTCGGGCAAAGCTGAACAGGGAGGTAGAGTAATTCTTTGGGTATGAGCCAAGCTTATAAAGAGAGATGAGGATCCTGGACCCTGGACCCACACCTGATGGCTCCTGATGTGATTTACTAAAATCCTCTCTGAAGACACTTAATTCATGAAAATCCCAGTGACAGCAAAGAGTTGTTTGCAAGGTATGTAAGGACTATAGTTACGAAATCCATCTTCTGTTCACATTACAGGAATCAGGTTAAATTTTCAGTCTTCTTAAAGGTGTATACTTAGAATGCCTTCACGCTTCTAATACCAAGTAGATTAGAGATGTAACAGTTTTCTGATCTATAGAGATCATGTAGATGAATTTGCTTCCAGAATATTTTAAAGTTATTTTTAATCTAACACTGAATATGTGACATACTGGAGATAGTAATTGTGCCGCTACTGAAACCATCTGAGGTGTCATGTCTAGGAAGAGACTGCTTTTTCTCCTGAAGGTAGAGACAGCATTTAAGGAAAAGATCGCTACAGGATCAGACAAGAGGCATTAGACCACATGAATCTTGTTTCGTTCCTTCTGGCTTAGTAATACTCTAACATCAGTCCCAGTCTCAGAACTGATTATGATTTTAACTTACATGATGCACACAATTCCATATTCTTAGATTCCATTTTATATGTGTCCTGTATTTTAATATCTGTTACACTTCTTGCCTTAGTGCTAATAGTTTGACTCATTGTATGTTTTGATAAATACCTCAACATTTGAAACAGAATTATCAATAACTTTTCTACTTCTCTTTTGTCAAATAGTAGTATTTCCTAGAACATTGCTTAGAGAACAAAGTAATATGTTGCTTTAGTTTGTGTGATGGAAGCCATGAATTTTGTTCCTTGTGCGACAGGAAATGACTATACTGTCAAAAAAGTATTGTTTAGCAGATACTGTGATTACCCAATATGTCGGCACAGGGATGTTTGACGTAGGATTAGCCTATAATTGGTGGATCTACACTTCATTATGATACTAAAACTTTATTTATGGGGCTCCGGGGTGGTTCATTCAGTTAAGTGTCTGACTTTGGCTCAGGTCATATCTCAGTGCTCTGGGACCTAACCCTGCGTCGGGCTCCATGCTCAGTGGGGGCCTGTTTGTCTCTCTCCTTTTGTCTCTCCCTCTGCTCATGGGTGCTGCCCCTCTCTCTGTCCCTCTCTCTATTTCTCTTTCAAATAAAATCTTTAAAAAAAAAATAGAAAACTTTATTTATGTATCTTATTCACAGAGAAAATATCCTTAGTGAAAGATGGATTCTTGTTACAGCTGAGATTATAAAATAAAATACAACTGATAGGAAAATGGAAGAGTATGAAATGAAATACAGGTCTGGATTATTTGAAAGCACAGGCGACATGCTTTGTTCATAGAGCACAGAGGTTCGGACACTGTCTTGGCACCAGCCAGCTAGGCTCTAGTCACTACTCGGCCCTTAATTAACCACCATGTGAACTTAGACAGATTGCTTTACCCTCTGTACCTAAGTCGTCCTTATCTCTACAATGAAAATAATGTCAGCACCTCTATCATGCAGATAGGAAAATAGAAGAGATTCCAAATTTATGGCATGATAGCTCTGATTCATGCATTTTATGGGCTGTTGGAAGGTTCTTTTTTCCACAGTGGGAAGCATCTTAGCAGAGCCACGCTGAAGTAAACGTGTTTCCCAGAGTTCATGGATTTCAGTTGTTATGATATATGTAGCCCCCAGGACCTGTTCCAGGGCCGGATCTTCTGATTTTGAGGAACTTTACAGTCACTGGGATCTGTCAGAATGGACTCCAGGGTTTAGCCATGAGAATGGTTTCCTCATCAGAGACCATGATTAGAATTCTGGGGATTTTCTCACTTCTTTCTCATCATCTCCTCCTTTTCTACAGGGAATCCAAGATGAAGTCCCCAGATGGGATCCTTATCTGAGTATAGTTGCATTTTGGTCATTTTCTTTTACAGGTGTCTCAGGATATACGCAGCATTTAATGGAAACATGCTCCTAGGAGTTTGGAGTGCGCGTCAGTTTGCTGTCCTTAAGAGTTGGCAGGGTGTGTCCATTGGTACCAGCTGCCTCTTCTGCGTCTCCAATCATCAGGAGCAGCCCTGGGACCTCCAGGTGGGTGAAAACGTGAAGCCACCCCAGGATATTGGGATTTCCATTTTCTCTACTGGACCCTGTATGTGTTGGTAAATATCCTTTCTCCTATGACAGAGCAACAAACTCATCAGAAAGAACAAAGATTTAGGATGCTGCGGTGCACAAAATCTCAGACTTACTCTAAGTAGCAATGTTATAGTTCTGTGACGTTCACTGTTGGGCTCCAATCTAAGCGTCTAGGTCTATAAGTCTCTTTCTGTACAGACTCTGTGAGCAGGCCAAACACATTCACAGGAAGAACCTTCTCATCTCCGTGCAATTTTACCTTGGTGATTTGTATTTTAAAAATTAAAGGTATGTACATGTCAACTGTGCAACTCACTGGGAGTTCGCAAGTGACCACATCTATGTACACAGTTCTTAGATGAGAAACAGAATGTTTTCAAACCCCCAGATATCCTGTTGTGCCCCCACTAAGTCACTATTCCCATAGGCATCATTTTCTTGGCTGTATCTGTAGGATTGGGATGTTTGGGAATAAGTTCGTAAGTGTCCAACATTTGAAAGATTAGATCACTTTTGCTTGTTCCATACTTAACATAAATGGACTTATCCTGCCTGAAATGTGTTATAATGACTTCTTTCGCATGCCATATGACTTTTCAAAGTTTATCTGTGTTGTTTCATATTATCATTGGCATTTTGGCTTTGCTGTAGAAGACTCCATGTGAATATGAAACCATTCATGGATTGCTTCTCCTGTTCATGAGAAATGGGTTTCCTGAGTTTGGGCTGTTGTGAGTAGTGAGTAATGCTGGTATGTAAGTTCTGTAACCAGTCTTTTGGGGATACCTGTACAAATTTTTGGTGAGTGTATTTGTGGGACAGTGAAAGTAGATAGTACTACAGTTTCCAAATGTTTGTACTAATTTTAACACCCATCAGCAGTGTGTGAGATTCTTGGTTGATCCATATTTTTGCCGAAATTTCTCTCATTCTGAGTTTAGATTTCTGGGTAGTGTTTGATGGCACCAGGCAGTAGTGTTATATTTGAAATTTTTCTGACTACAGACATTGAACATTTTCACGTGGTATCTGTTGAATAACCTCTTTTTTGAAGTTTTAATTTAAATTCACTTAGCTGACATATAGTACATCTTCAGTTTTGGTATAATATCCAGTGATTCATTAGTTGCGTATAAGACCCAGTGCTCATCACATCATGTGCCCTCCTTAATGCCTGTCACCCCGTTACCCTATTCCCCCACCCACCTCCCTTTCCACAACCCTCAGTTTGTTTCCTGGAGTCCAGAGTGTCTCATGGTTTGTCTCCCTCTCTGATTTCTTCCCATTCAGTTTTCCCTCCCTTCCCCTCTGAACCTCTGCACTATTCCTCACATTCCACATATTTCATTTAGCATAATACCCTCTACTAAGTGTTTGTCAGAACGGTTTGTGTGTTGTTTATTCTGTTGCATAGTCTTTAAGAATTCTCTGTGCTAATTATAGATTGTGTGTGTAGTGGGGTGTTTTGATGAAAAAACACCTCTAAATTTACTATAAAATCATTTTCCCATGTGATTAATATGTTCAGTGCTGTTTAAGAAATATTTTGTTCGAAGACCAAGTAAAGGTTGTTTTTTTTTTTAATTATTCTCAAAAAACCTATTATGCCTTAGATCAGCAATCTATTCACAGTTGACTTGGTTTATGGTACGAGTAGTGATCAAGTTTTCTCTTTTTTCCAATAGGGCTAGTGAATTTCAACTTCTTCCGAAAATCTTGTATTATTCTTTCTTTCCATTTGGTCTCATTTGTCATTGCCTCTCCCAGGTTAACACCCCCTCATCCCTATTGCTATTTTTTACATGAAATGTACTAGATCTCCAGCTCTTCCCTTCTCTGACAGTTTTGGCAATTGAGCAGGAGTGCACAGTGAAAGTGAATCTGGGTGTCAAAATTTCAGTTGGCCTTGTTGCTCAGAGGAATGCTTGTTGCCATAATTTTTAGGAAAACATGTTGAATGACAGAATATCTTCCAGGGATTTGATAATGGGAATAATCTTCTTGTCACTGATGATAGTTGGAATTGTGGGTAATTTCTTTCTTCTTTACCATTACCTGTTCCTTTTCCATACCAAATGCAGGGTGAGGTGTACCCGTTTGATTCTCAAGCACCTGATCATATCCAACTCCTTGGTCATTCTCTCTAAGGGAGTCCCCCCAGACAATGATGACTTTTGGGTTGAAACATTTTTCCAGCAAATTTGGGTGCAAACTTCTTTTATATGTTCAGAGAGTGAGCAGGGGCATGTCCATTAGCAGCATCTGCCTCTTGAGTGTGTTCCAGACCATCGTGATCAGCCCCATGAACTCCTGTTGGAAGGATCTTAAAGTCAGAGCCCCAAAGTATGTTGGCCTCTCCATCTCCCTCTGCTGATCATGTACATATTTGCAAATTTAATTTTTCATGTGTATGTGTTGTATGTGTCTGATAAATGGAGCATGAAAAACATCACAAACAAAGGCTATTTACAGTACTGTTTTACTATAGATCATGAGACAATTACAGCCCCAATGTATGCACTGTTGATAATACTCTCTGAAGTTTCATTTTCCGGGCTCATGATCTGGGCCTGTGGCTCCATGGTTTTCATCCTGCACAGGCACAGACAGCGGGTTCAACACATTCACAGGCCTAATAATGTCTCCCCCAGATCCTCTGCTGAGTCCAGAGCCACCCAGAGTATCCTTGTCCTGGTGACCACCTTTATGTGTTTTTACTTCCTCTCCTCCATCTTTCATGCTTGTATTGCTTTTATTTATAATCCCAGATGGCGGCTGGTGAATACTGCTGTGGTGATTTCTCTGTGTTTTCCAACTGTCACTCCCTTTCTGCTCATGAGTCAAGACTCTGCTATACCCAGGCTCAGCTTTTCCTGGATAAGGAACAGAAAATCCTTTAACTGTACCAGAAAAAAATAAATTATATGTTTCTGGACAGTATCCTGTTGTTTTTTTCTGTTTTTTTTTTTTTTTTTTTTTTTTAAGATTTTATTTATTTATTTGACAGAGAGAGACACAGCGAGAGAGAGAAACAAGCAGGGGGAGTGAGAGAGGGAGAAGCAGGCTTCCTGCCAAGCAGGGAGACCGATGCGGGGCTCGATCCCAGGAGCCCGAGATCATGACCTGAGCCAAAGGCAGACGCTTAAGGACTGAGCCACCCGGGCACCCCATCCTGTTGTGAATTCATTCCTCATTCTGGAAAAGTCAGTAATGAATGTAAGGAGACACCACATGCCATTCAAAGGAGGACACTGATGCGTGTTGGTGTTTCATCAGCCACTTCAGTATGGGACACACATGGGCATAATAGAAGGGAATACAGCAGCTGGTCTCATTCTGATGCCTAGCATCCTGAAAACAGTAGTTTCATAAAATGATTTTTGAGTGAAATTGAGTGGATTTGGTGCTGGCTCCACAGGTGAATCAGTGGTTTCCCAAGAGTATACTCATGGGCACATCACATAAGCGTGACTACAGTCAGGCAGTGAGGGGTGGATATCGTTGGGAGGCAGTTCTGCATGGATTCCTATGCATGTGTAGGTCTTTCGGGCGATGGCACAGGCAGCTTTTATCGTGGACTCTAGTTCATAGATATTCTATAGGGGAAAAAATGCCTTAGATCATAGGGAGACTGTCCCGTTTGGGGCAGAGGACAGATTTGTTTGCTGTACAAGGAACAACAGACTTTAGGTAAGGAATGGCAACAAGAATGTTAGAAGTTCAGGGAAGAAGTTAAGGCTGAGAGTCCCCCTGATCCTTAGCTAACATTAAGGAAGACCTGAGACATGGTGGCAACCCTTCCGAAGTTAAATGGGGATCAGGGGCCACTCAGAGCTCCAGTAACCACACCATGCTCTCCTCCACCGTGAATGCTGATTGCCAACGGAGTAGGAAAGTCATTGTTAACAAGCTGTTTCTTTAAGAACTATATTTTACTTATTTATTAGAGCACAAGCAGGGGAGTGGCAGAGGGAAAGGGAGTAGCAGACTCCCCACTGAGCGGCTTAATCCCAGGATTCCAAGATCGTGACCTGAGTTATGACCATGAGCCACCCAGGTGCCCCACAAGCTGTTCTGATGGTGAGTAGAAGTTAAATTTGGAGGTAGAGTCCCAGCACCAGTTTCAAAGTGGATCCACTATAGTGCCCTCCTCAGCAGCTCAGCTTTTACTGTCTCACTGGCTCATCTCCAGGCCATGTTTGGTAGAAAAAACATCCCAGGTGCTGTTAGAGCCCTGTGGAAGGCTGTGGGAACACCCTATGTAGTTGGATCCCAGCACCCCAAAGCCACAGGCTCCAAAGATCCAGGATGAGAATTCAGCCCCAGCTGGAGGGACAGATGATTGTACAAGGTTGAAATCACTGTATTAAGGACAAAATGCAGAACTAGGATCTCCCATTCCAGAGGGAAGAGTCCCCGTGATCCTTTCAAACATAAAGCAGAAATATTTGAGCACAAAATAATCCATTCCTGCCATGGAAAGGGCAAGCTTAGGCATATACGTCAGTGACTTCACTCCAGAAGAGCAAAGACTGGAAATTCCTTTTCAAAAAGTCTCCGTGAATCAGCCTCTGAAAAAGTCCAAATCCACTTACAGCCAGAGCTCTTGTTGTAAACAGTAGGGACAGTGAAAGCTAGGAGAACCAGACAGATCTTGGCCTAATCTTAGGGAAGAAGCAAGTACACGAAACACGAACTGTAAACATCAAAGGAGGTTGGCTCAGCAGTGGCTTCAGGGCAGGAGAGAGACCATGGACAGACTCGTTAGTGACCAGAAGCCTCCGCCTTACCTCAAGCCAGGGACAGCGATGAGTGCTTATCTGCAGCATCCACAAGGCCATCCCTGAGAGCCAAGAGTTCCCCTCTCTGTAGGATCTGTCTCTCTCTCATGTCAGCCCAGGGCTTCACTGGGGACCCAGAGCTGCACATCCAGTCTGGGGAGAGATGCAGGAGACAGAGGAGGCTGAAGTTCAGAACAGGAAAGAAGGTCCCACAGAACCTGTTTTCTTTTCTGACAAATGCTCCGCTCTAACTGTGTGTGTCTTTTTTTTTTATTAGACCTTGTATTTGTGTATTTGGAATCCATTCATCACAGGGCCTTTACATTTACTTTATTTTCTGTATTCTTGGTGCTCTGACATTTGTGACCTTGCTGGTGAGCGAGAGGCTGCCTCTCCCATGACTAACCATTTCATAGAAATGGGAAAGGCCTTTACAGGGGCCCCCATTGTTATGCAGACTTACAAATTGAGAGTCCAGACCCCCCCAACATCTCTTTTTCAAGGTCTGACACACTAAGCCACTATTTCCACTGTCTGAAATCAACCCAGGACAAGGTACCAGACAATTAGGGACAGTCAGGGCCCACTCGCCGATTCTAAGTTGTTCATCCTGCCCTGCCTTGTCTTTCCTCAGAATACTACAGTGAAGGCTCTGACTGGGCTTTCCCTCTCTCCTCCTTCTGCTTCCTGGCCAAAATGTGATGCTTTCTCAGTGTCCTGCTAGGAGGTGCTGAAGGCTAGAATTCTAGGTCGGAGTGGGGACAGGTGTGCTTTCTTCTGGGGACTCCCTCTTTGGGTCGGAGGTGGCCACCTTTTCACTTCTTCCTCCAAGGTTTTTCCTCTGGGTCCATGCAGATTCAGGCATTTCTAGGTATGTCCATATTCCCTTTCATCATGAGGATACCAGTCATACTAGTTTAAGGATGGCCCAGTTGGCCTAATTTAAATGTAATCACTCCTTAAAAGGCCCTATCTCCCAATACATTTTCATTGTGAAGTTCTTGGGGCTCATCTTTCATCACGTATGAATTTGGTGAGCGGACACAATTCAACCCACAACAGCCCTTTGGGCTTCCAAAATTTACGTTGTTCTCACTTGCACAATACCTTCACTCCAGTCCCAACAGCCCTGCAGTCTCAACCCTTCCCGGCATCAAGTGAAAGGCCCAGAGCCCTGCTCTCTAATCTCCTCCAAATAGTATCTACAGCAAGCGTGGCTAGGACTCCAGATGTGACTCAGCTCGAGGCAAAATTCCCATCCAGCTGCGATCCTTTGAAACAGACACAGTCTCTGCTTCCAAAAAACCATGGTGGGACAGGCATCGATAGACACTCCCATTCTGAAAGGAGAAATTGAGAAAAAAGGATCTCTGGACCCCTTTCAAGGTCATCCTCCCCGTACTTGGAGTGTTCTGTATTCTGGAGAAAGTTCCATGTGCCCTCGAGAAGAACGAGTATTCTGTTGCTTTAATCTCCCCGTATTTGCAGGATAACACATGTCTGTGCTCTGTTCCTCAGAATCCCAGAAATCCAACAGCCTTTCTTCTGAGGCGGGCCTGTGAATTTTTATTTTGAACAGGGTCCTTAGGGGTGCCGATGCTTCTTTCGCAGAGCCCTTTCCACCAGTCCCTCCAGTCCCTTTCGGCAGCACGATGCTGGAGAAAGCGGGGAGGGCGCTCTTGATCTTCTTAACAGATTACTGTCACTTCTCAACACCGCTGCTGTGGTTTTCCCGCGTTCAGCAAATGACGGGGAAGGAACTGAACCAGGACAAGTGACCCCTTTATGGAGGGAGGGGCTGCTACGGGGAAAGTCTGAGGACCCCATCAGAAGATGCCTGGCTCGTAGTCAGTGCAGATGCAGGTGTCTGGAGGGCTGTGGCATCCTTAGCCTCTGAGCGAGCCTGAGCGTGTGATCCCTGCATGTGGGTACGGCTACTGGCTCATGTGCATGTGCAGGCTTTGGTGTTAGGTGGGGTGACGCCTGGCTTTCCCAGCAGAAATTAGGAGTCTAAGGAGGCCCGCCTGGAGATGAGGCCCAGTTAGATCTGCATGTTCTCCACCTGGGCAGTTATTTTTGAGGAAATCAAGAGGACTGTGCTCTGTTAGTGCCTCCAGACTCCAAAGTAGTCGAGTAGCACGTGCCTGGGCCAGACTCTGGGTGCAGCTGAGGGCCAAGCCCACAGCTATGTGTCAGGGTGCATGTGTGGGGCCAAAGACTTGGGGTCCTCTGTTAGGGCCATTTTGGAGTAAGCACTGCTGGACACCTTATTTTTGGGGGGAGTCCGGTGCCAGGACCAGGGGCTGCCCTCAAAGGCATCTAAATTTTAGGAGGTACAGCATTCAAGGACTGGAGGGGCCTGGGGATGCTGAACACCATGTGTGCACATGCACGAGGGATTGCTGGAAGGAAAAGTTGGAGTTGGGGTCACTCAGGGACCCATGAGAGGAGAGCCCATGTTAGCACGGCAGGTCTGTGCTTTGGGTTCTAGTTCTACCTGGAGCTGAAACCTGGGCTTGGGTAGCAAATGGATCAGGGCAGGGGGTTCAGGGGCCCAGGCTGGAGGGGCCAGGTTGCAGCTGCAGATTCTGTGTTGAGAGAGGTGGTATTTTCCAGACCTTTGGGCTTGGACCGGTGCCGGTTTGGGCAGAGAGCACCTCTCCTAGAACAGGCAGTGTTACAGAGTTGGCTTATGTGAATGGCAGACCTGGGCCAGTGTCTGGGCAGGACCTGAGTGTTGCCTGGGAGATTGGCGTGTGGCCAGAAACGGCAAATGGCTTTCAGGACTCCACTTCCACATAGCAGCCCCTGCCTCAGGTCCAGCCACTAACAAGATAAGCTGTGTCCTGACAGCCTTTGCCAAATGCCAGAATTGCCATCCTTGCCCCCAGGGCCAGGAGGGCCTGGTGCATGTCTTAGCCGCCAACAATAATAGAAAATTCTCGTATTAGACCCTCGAAGTGATGCACGAAGAGGGTGCCGCCAGTATCTGTGTTGGGAAGTTCTGCTGGGATGTGGAACCTGAGTGTAAGGGTGACAGATGAAATCAGACAAATCCATACTGAGGGACATTTTGCAGACAATGAGTACATTCTTCAAAACAGTCATTCTCCTGAGGACAGGGGAGTGGCAACAGAT